AACATTTGTTCAGTTAAACAATGTTTGTTTTTTTCTGATAACCAGACATATTTTAGTTATTTTCTGCTATCAAGATACTTTTAGTTACAGATGTAGCACTTCATTTCAGACTCCAGTTTACAGCTTCCTGCCTACGACCTGCCAAAGACCAGTATAGAGGAATGTTAAGCCCTCCCACTATTTTCCTAGAGGGCGTTGCCAGATTTTCAATTTCAGGTTTTAACCAGGAGATGGCGCTTCATTCACAAATACAGAAAGACAAGTTTCATGGACTTTCAGTTGTGTTTTGAAGAGCATTTGAACACATCAATATTTTAGATCAACTAAAGTATATCTAATCTTGTAATTCAATAATATATAGTCTTTATATATTAAATAATCATAATTATAATTTAAATGTTTACATTACACTTCTTTATTTGNTCATCGGTGTGGCGGGACCCCGTGTGAGCTGACACGGGCGGTAGGTGCGCCGCGTGTGGGGGGGCTCGCAGATGGGGGGTGCTGCAGCCTCAGGACCCCCCCCTTCCGCGTCAATTCGCGATGTCTCGATGTCTCGCAACCCCACGCAGCAACCAGGAAATGACACCAAGTAACACAGCTCACACTGTCAGCATCGCTCACAGCAGCTAGCCGCCACGTCCCCGCCAACACGGCACCCAGACCCCACGGCAGCATTCTCATCTGTTTGTCATTACTGGTGCCATTTTCTGGTTGCCTAAGGCCATTGTAACACATAATCACTGATGTTCCGCTGTAAGCGGTGGTGGACTCATCAGAACAGAGTGGGCAGGCGACCAATCCCAGAGCCACAGTGGGCCCTCTCAGGGGAGGGGGAGGCAGGAGCCTCCAACCAAGGCCGTTTGGAACAAGGCATTTAGGACAGAGAGTGATACTATACAGAGATGCTGTATGAGAAACCAATGTGAGTTTGGAACATTGAATAATTTAAATCTATTCTAGTAGACCTCAACAATGGAATTATAATTAGTAGAAATAGCCATGTCATGGGACCTTTTAAGTTTGGTGTGAACATTTTTGTCCTTTTTTTTTTTTCAGTATAATTATATGAATAAGAACGAGACAGCAGTGAGGGAAGAGATGGTTCACCTGGCCAACTTTATAGACAGCGTGAGTACACACACACACAAGCTTGTGGATGCATATGTAGTATTATTGTTGTCAATAGCATAGAAAGTGGCATGAATGTGTGTGTGTCGTTCAGATCTACATACAGCTGAATGTTCGGGTGGTGCTGGTTGGTCTGGAGATCTGGACTCAGCAGAACCTGATCAGCACCGAGGGGGGAGCCGGAGAGGTGCTGAGTCGCTTCACCCAGTGGAGAGAGAAAGACCTGGTCCCTCGCCGCCGCCATGACTCAGCACAACTCATCTTGTTAGTATACACACGCACACACACACACACACACAAACATACAGGAGTCAATATTGAGGATATTGGTGATGATGATGATGTTGATGATGATGTCCTTGCAGGAAGAAGAGTTTCGGGGTAACAGCAGGGATGGCTTTCGTCTCCACAGTCTGCTCCAGGAGTCACGGGGGCGGGATCAACGCGGTACGCTGCTGATTACTTTTCTCTTCTGACTGGCTGACACCTGTCTGTCTTGTGGCATTTAAATCATATAGAACAGTTTGTAGATTAAGGGGTGGGAAATCTCTACGCAGTTGACCAATCCCAACAGAGCCGGCCAGCTAGCCAATCAGAGCGGACTGGACTCTGGTTTCAGACAGAGGGTGAAAAGAGGTGCTGCAGCACAGGCAGTACGAGAAAAATAAAGAGCTTTTTGCTCTCTCTCTTTCCGTCCACCTTTCTCTGTCTTCTCTCTGCAGTTTACCAATAACAACATTCCCTCGTTTGCCTCCATCGTGGCTCATGAACTGGGCCACAACCTCGGGATGAACCACGACAACGGGCGCTCCTGCACCTGCCCCACCGGCGCCTGCATCATGAACTCTGGAGCCACGTAAGACACAACAACACACAGACAGACAGACAGACAGACAGACAGACAGACAGACAGACAGACAGACAGACAGACAGACAGACAGACAGTGGGATGGGACTCTGATTCTTAAATCTGTATTCTGTCGAAAAAAATGAAAAGCATTGAATCAATATCAGAGATCCTGTCTTATGACAACCACAGGAGGCTGTACTCCTTGGAAATGAAAGAACACTTACTTCTCTCCTCTCTCTTATTCCTTTTTTCTTTCCATTCTTCTTCCTCCTTTTCTCATTACTTCCTCCTCTTCCTTCTCTTCTTCCTGTTCTTCCTCCTCCTCTCCCTAAAGGCCCTGACACACAACAGTCGGCGTCGGCATCGGCGAGTTCTCTGGTGACTGCTTGGTGTATCAGGGCCTTTACTCCTTCTCCTTCCATTCTTCCTTATCTTCACTTCTCTCTTCATTTGACTTATCATCATCCTCTCTCTTCATCCTCCTCCCTTTACCTTCTTCTCCTCATCCCCCTCTTCTCATGTTTTCCTCCTGCTCACCTCTCCCCTCTCCTGCTCCTCCCATGCTTCCTCTTTCCGCCTCTCCTCCCCTCCTTCTTTAATCTACTCCCCCTTTTCTTCCTCCTTCTCTCCTTTTGCTGCCTCCACATTTTACTCCTCGCCTCTCTCTTCCTTCTCCTTCTCCTGCCCTTACACCTCCTCACCCCTTCCTTCCTCTCCTTTTTCCTCATCTCTTTCCTCCTCTCTCCAAAAGACATGTAGACATTCACTGGAGTATCCTCCATGCATACTTTGTTTTAAGGCAGGTCAAGATTGGGGTGTATGTCAGCAGAAAGAGGGAGGTGGAGGAAAACGTTGAACCGGTTAATATCTGTGTTACCATGGTGAAGTCCAGACTCCAGACTGATGGTAGACTTCAGTTGATATAGAAGTTCTGGAGATCTGGACACATTCCAGCAAGTTGTAATTAATGTGTTTGTGGGTGATGTGTGTTTTAATGCGAGTACACTGCAAAGATAGTGACAAATAAAAGTTGATTTCAAAAATCAAAGAATCTCTCGTCCTCGTCCTCTTCCTCCCTGCAGAGGATCCAGAAACTTCAGCAGCTGTAGTGCTGATGACTTTGAGAAGATGATCTTGTCGACGGGGGGAACGTGTCTCTTGAACGTCCCTCGTCCTGACGAGGCCTACAGCGCCCCCTTCTGTGGTAACAGGCTGGTGGACATGGGGGAGGAGTGTGACTGTGGCTCAGAGAAGGTGTGTGGCTCATAGTCCGAAAAAAAACTCTGCAGTGTATACGTGAATATTCTCTGTGATTTACAAGTTATTCATTTGTGATCAGGGTTGGGAAGGTTACTTTAAAAATGTATGTCGTTACAATAATCGCCTGTAAAAAATGTTTTATCAGAAACCTCATCTTAGTATCAAAATATAAAAGTAAGGTAACCTGATTACTTTCCCTTACTACTAGATTTCCTCAATACCAAATACATCGAAGAGAAAAGATATACTAACAAAATGTTTCTTTACCTCAGTGTTATTAAGACAACAGAACACTGTAACCAAAAGGAAGAAATCAAGATATTTAGGATCAAAAAGGATTTGATTGATAGTAAAAGCTGCCTTTCATGAAGCATATTCAGGCAGCAGCCTATACACAAACAAAGAAATACGTGAGCACATACTACTGTTTAAAAAAGCAGAAATAAAATCTGAGCTGACAGAAAATGCTCCTTTTTAGTTTAATACACACAGTTAAGCTCTAACACACTATTCTTTGAACATATAGGTTCACCTGCTGAATTAAAAACAGAACAAATGAAGCAAAGAAAGTGAAAACCATAAAGCAGATTCAGGCAGTAGTCGTATAGATTCACACTTAAAGTATTAGCCTACAGAACAGTACAGCTTATAGAGAAGAGATAACATCTGATAGGTGTTGGTAACACTGTAATCCTGCTAGTATTCCTTAATAATTAGAAATGTAACAGTAATCTGATTACGTATTTTTTTATGTTACTGTAAAGGAATACAGTTACCTTTTTTTGTGTCCTGCTTATGTTACCCTGTCACATGTAATCTGTTACTCCACAAGCCGGGTTGTGATAAAGAAAACACCACAGAGGCTGCAGGGAAACAGGGAGTGCCCCACACAATTGTTAGTGAGGAGGGGCAACAGTGTGGTTACTGCTGCACAAAGGCTATCACCTCCTCCAAATCACTATGGCTGCGTCTCACTTCTCTTATTTTTCATTTCCTCGCTCCTCGGGCTCTGTATCACCGGAAGTTGATTTGTCTGCGCCATCTTGAGTAGCAGTGGCCTTATTTTTTCCGGAGGGTCGAGGAGTGATAACGGAGGAGCGATAATCGAGAAACTACCAGGCCATCCTCCGGTGAAATCCTCAGACACTCGCCCCGCCCCCTNCAGAAACAAAATTGTAGACCTGCACCAGGCTGGGAAGACTGAATCTGCAATAGGTAAGCAGCTTGGTGTGAAGAAATCAACTGTGGGAGCAATTATTAGAAAATTCTAATAATTGCTCCCACAGTTGATTTCTTCACACCAAGCTGCTTACCTATTGCAGATTCAGTCTTCCCAGCCTGGTGCAGGTCTACAATTTTGTTTCTGGTGTCCTTTGACAGCTCTTTGGTCTTGGCCATAGTGGAGTTTGGAGTGTGACTGTTTGAGGTTGTGGACAGGTTTATTTTATACTGATAACGAGTTCAAACAGGTGCCATTAATACAGTTAACAAGTGGAGGACAGAGGAAGGCTCTTAAAGAAGAAGTTACAGGTCTGTGAGAGCCAGAAATCTTGAAAAAAATCCAGAAAATCACATTGTCTGATTTTTAAAGAATTTATTTGCTAATTATGGTGGAAAATAAGTATTTGGTCACCGAGAAACAAACAAGATTTCTTGTTTTTCTTGTTTCTGCATTTTTTTTCTTTCTCATTTTGTCTCTCATAGTTGAGGTATGCCTAGGATGAAAATTACAGGCCTCTCATCTTTTTAAGTGGGAGAACTTGCACAATTGGTGGCTGACTAAATACTTTTTTGCCCCACTGTATATATATATATATAGTCTTAAAGTTTTCCACTGGCTTTTAATCCTAGTTGAACATAACATTTTGATATTTGTATGTGTTTCTATATGTTTCTAGTTATTGTGCTTTTTATCTTGTTTTGAATGATCGTTTTATTATTTTACTCCCATTGTGTTATTTTATATTTGTTCCCCTTTACAGCACTTTGGTCAACTGAGGTGGTTTTAAATGTGCAATAGAAATCAATAAAGATTGAGATTGAAAGTTACAACCGGCCCTTTGAGTGCAACCATAATGCTAATGTGGCCCGCGATGAAATTGAGTTTGACACCCCTGCTCTAAGGACATACAGGCAGGGG